AAATACTTTAAGTCCCTCTGCGTAACTTTATCTTCAACTAACCACTGTTCATAATAATGGAAGACTATTGTTAGAAAAACAGCTTACGATCCTCACATCATTTTTTGGTTATTGGTCCTATAAGATAAGCCAAGTTTATAGTGAGCAACTAGCATTTACTGTTGGCACACTGTAATCTTTCGTCCCTATGTACTTTAATAGTTCAGTTAAAAAGGAAGTTAGTGTTATTGAAGAGTATCATAGGTCACTGAGAAAGGCTGCCAAATACTTTCCTTTAATCATTTAAAAAATAAACAGACATCTTTTGTTCTGATTTTGGAACATGTCTGTCCAACCCTTATGTACCTTTGGTACATTTTTAATCCCACTATTTTGTGACAAGTATGTAAGGACAATATTTTGGTGATTTCTTTTCAAATAACTCAGTTCATAATAATGCATTAAATGAGCCAGGTAAATAGTTTAGAAGGCTGGTAAGCATGGTTTTCATGTGAAAACCCGAATCTCAATGATAGCACCACATGGTCCCCTATGCACTGCTGGGAGCAATCTCTAGGCACTGAACAAAGTGTAGAACCTGAGCACCATCTAGTATGGCCCTCCCCACAGAATAATGCATTAAATTATAAATAATCTACATAGAGGTCCATGAAATAAGATGACAGTATTGTGTTATATTAGTAGTTTAAAAATCACCCCCCCTTTACAAAGACACATATTCAAAGTCTCTCTCTCTCATATATATATGTATATATATATATATATATCTACTTGACCTAAACAAATCCTTCATAGTTGATGTGGGTACATCTTTCACATCCTATTATGTTTTCCTCAAGTCTCAATCCAGTTTGCCTTTTTTTCAAGTCGCCCCATCTCTCTCTCTCTCTGTCTCTCTCTCTCTCTCTCTCACACACACACACACACACATATGTATATGTATATATATATATATATATATATATATATATATCTTCTAGTTCCCTTGGGATTCAATCTTTCTCAGTTTCCTCTGCCCACTTAACTTCCTGGCAAACTCAACAGCATGCTGAGTTACTATTTATTTGCACAATGTTATGTTTGCATGTTTTATGTCTCTTCTCACTCTATTTTTGAGTACCAAGTTATTATTTACAACCTCTCATAGAACTTCAGGGGCTGGCAGTACATTCCTAGGTGCTTGTTCTTAACAATGTTTTGAACAGAGTTCCGAGAAATAGACAGTGAGGTGCCTTACAATGGTTATGTGTTCAGCCAAACAAATATTTGAGGTCCAGCAGGACCCTATTTTTTTCTGTCATATACCAGGATCATTATATGCTTTCAGTGAGTACTGTTACTAGTTTTACAACTTTGTCAAGCCATTTTACCAACTGAACCTCAGGTTTCCCCTCTAAAATGGGGTGGGGTGGGTATCCTAATCATGCCTGCTTACCAGAGTATAAGGATGTAATGAGTGTATGCCTAAAAAGCACTTTATTTGTTCATTGTGAGCCACTTCAAGGGAAATGAAAATTTCACAGCACTGAAATGTTAGGGATGAACAATTTTAAGCACGTATTTTCAGATTCCAAAATAGTCATCACATTTCTTTCATATCCTATTGGATTATAATGAATTTATGTGACTGTTTCATTGGTAGTTGAGTCCAAAGTATTTGGTCTCTCACCCTGCATTAAAATGCTAATGTACATAAAAAATACTCCATAAATGTTAGCTGCTATTATTTTTACCATTATCATTACTACTTATCCAGGAAAACACTGTCATGCAGAAAAAAGGAAGTGAGGAAATAAAAGATTTTCCTTGTTAGCAGATAGTATGTGGTCTGCTGAAGCCAGAATTACTCATCATTCTATACACTTTCACACATTTTCTACAATTCCTACCTGGATCACAGTTACTGGATATTTCAAAGGTTACTTTTTAATCATGTATTATCTCAAGACTTTATCAAGCATCCCTGGCTATCAACTTTCTCAAGATTCCCTGATCTCCTTTTATTGGGCTGTAGACCTTAAATCCCAAGTAACCCTTAATTCCCAGCTCCAAAAGGTCCCAAAGATGCCACACCTACATGATTGCCTTGGGTGTGTAGATGTGTTAAGAAATAAAGTGGCCGGGTATGGTGCTGTCAACAGGTCAACCTACACCTGCGGGGCAAGTACATCAGCAGCCTAATGTTGCCTTCAGGCTTCCTGATACCCCCAAATTGCTGCTGTGCCTTTGGCCAGACCCCAACAACTTGGGAACAAGTTTACCAAAAAATTAAACAATCAGAAGTTAGGCATGTAGGAGTCACACCCACAAACCACCTCCGGCTCAACCATACAAGCTCACTCAGAGTTGGGATGGGCTACCTCCCCCACTTCCCAATACATGGGAAGCACTGGCAGTCACCCCCACAAAACAACTCCAGCTCCACCCTGTAAGCTCTACTATTGGCCTTGCCTAAGAGACCCCTAAATAAATCTCAAAAGAGATCAAAAGCTGTAGGTAAGCCCAGATCCATACATGGCTGAACAGACCAGAGTAAATTGGAGGGAGTGGGTTGGCCTGTGCCCGCCCAAACAGAGTCTCCGGTGGCCACTTGCTTCCATAATCTAAAATTGCTGCCATACCCCAAGCCTGACCACCGTCTCAGGATGGACCTCACCAAGATATAATCTGCTGAAAATTTTGTAATGTAGATCTTAGCGCACCAGCAGCCCTGGCTCAGAGACACAGGGGCAAGTCCCAGTAACACCCACAATTTGCCTCCAGGCGCCATCTTGGCACACCAACAGCCCTGGTTCAGAAACATAGCAGCAAGTCCCAGAAGATACCACAGCACCAGAGATCCTTCCGGGCTCATACTGAGCCAGTATCACCAGGGTACCCCAGATGGAGCAAGTGCAGTCTCCCCACCTACTCCAGATGGAATACCGGTGACCAAGAGCTTTCATAAGCAAGGCCCAGGTATGCAGGTTCAGAACTAAATCTCCAGGCCGCATGGTGGCTGCTGTTCCCCGCCCCCCACCTCGCCCACCCAGAAGACTGGCTGTCAAGCCCACAATTAGCCTCCGGGCACCATCTTAGCACACCAACAGCCCTGGCCCAGAGACTCCCAACTGAATCCCAAAATGGATTAGTGCCATATACAGATGTCTATAGAACCCAAACATTTACAATATAGAAATTTACATTTACAATCATGGCTGCGTGAACTCTTGTGATATTTGAAATGAGCTATGGAAAATATATTATGTAGAGTCTGCCCCTGGCAGGTAGGCTTGAATAGTGGTGGGAAAATTCGAGCAAGATTAATGCCCAAAATTAGAAAGAGAGAGAGTATTGGAGAGACTGACATAGAGGCAGGGTGAGGCCTACTATGTGTGTGTGTGTGTGGGGGGGGTGATACTTGGGACATTGGTGGTGGAAAATGTGCACTGGTGGAGGGATGGGTGTTTCATCATTGTATGGCTGAATCTCAAACATGAAAATTTTGTAACTCTATCTCACGGTAGCACTGTAGCTCTGTCCTCCCATTGTTCATCGATTTGCTCGAGCAGGCACCAGTAACGTCTCACAACAAATTGTGAGACTTGTTGTTACTGTTTTTTTGGCATATCGAATATATCACAGGTACCTTGCCAGGCTTTGTCGTGTGGGCGAGATACTCTCAGTAAATTGCTGGGCTCTCCAAGAGGGGCGGAGAAATCGAGCTAGGGTCCGCCATGTTGGCTGCGTGCAAGGCAAATGCCCTACCTGCTGTGCTATCGCTCCATCCCCTATCTCACGGTGATACAATAAAATAAAAAAAGTAATGTGGAGTTCATGCCCAATTCAAACAGCTTAATCAATGGCTGAACAAATAGCAGTACTCCTACATTATGAAAAAAATATATAAAGTGGTAGCACAGCGGGTAGGGCGTTCGCCTTACAAGTGGCCAACATGGCCGACCCGAGTTCAATTCCTCCGCCGCTCTCGGAGAGCCCGGCAAGCTACCGAGAGTATTCGATATGCCAGACACGGTAACAACAAAGTCTCCAATGGAGACGTTACTGGGCCCGCTCGAGCAAATCGATGATCAACGGGAGGGCCTTTACCTTGGGCTGGAGTGATAGCACAGCGGTAGGGCATTCGCCTTACAAGCAGCCAACATGGCCGACCTGAGTTCGATTCCTCCGCCCCTCTCGGAGAGCCCGGCAAGCTACCGAGAGTATTTGATATGCCAAACACAGTAACAACAAAGTCTCCAATGGAGACGTTACTGGGCCCGCTCGAGCAAATCGACGATCAACGGGAGGGCCTTTACCTTTACCTTTACTCATATGGAAATTCTGATATTAGAATGACTGAATGATGCTTTCCTTTGATTTTTCAAGGCACATTTCCAACTCCAGACACTCCATGTTTGGCTTTAGTAAAAAATGATAACATACACAACAGCTGCTATTTGAAGGATATTAATGGTTAGAATTTAAATATTATTTTATTTAAACAGTAGGAAACTGCACAACTAAGCTAGACTTCCCGAGAATAAAGTCTAGAATCAGAGGTAATTACCAAAGCATGCAAAAATATCTGGCTGTGAATTAAGATAAACTCCCCAAAGTCTTAAGAAGGGACCTAGAGTTTTCATATATGTGCCTTTGGAGTTGCCTAGGGCTGTCTGTATGTGTACATTTGGTGCAGTCACCCTACCCATGTTCCAGTTAAAGGACCAGAGGGAAAGAGGGGAAGAGGGAAGGAAGTTGAGTCTCCTACCCCTACTCTGGCTGAAGTAGGAGTAGGGATGCAGTCTCAGTGGACTTTATGGAGGAGGGCAAAGCTGTGACCCTGCCATGATTCCAGGAGGCCACATGGATGATTAAAAAGAGAGAAGAAAAAAGAAGAATCCTACTTCTTTGAGACTAAAAGGCTTCCAATGATTGCTTTAAAAGCAGAAGCAAATAAAAATGTTTTCCCCAATGCAGTGTTCCTCCCACATTGGTTACTAAAAAAAAATCATGCTTACCTTGACATACTGAATGAGCCGTTCATTCACATTCACTTTATATGTCTCCAAACCCAGCTCCTTAGATAACCGTAAGATCCTGTTCTGAGTGGGTCCCACATAAGCTCCACCAACATCAACATAATCAACATGTTCATTCTGTAGAAAAAGTAGTAAGATGATTTTAGCTAAAATTTGAAAAAAAAAGTACTCATAAAATAATAACCCTATTTACTTTTTCACAAGGGGAAATCCCTTATATATCTCTCTTATAAAGTGCAACTGAAAATAACAATTTTTTCTCATCCGCTCAAGAACTGGGTAAGCCCTGTATGATACTAATCATTAGGCAACGCCACCTCTATTCATCGGTGATTGATTTAGTAAGAACATGTGCACAGAAAAATGAGTGGTGCAGTACATACTGCTGCTCTAGATACTTTTCAAGGCATTGAGATTAGTACTTAGGTTCTGGGGGGTGGGGAGTTGAAGCTAGCAGAAACACTCTGCGAATTATTAGGCCTAAATCTGGTTTCCATCAGATGACCTCTTGAAGACATCACACAGACTGGCTTTTGATTCTATTATAAAACACTTACACTGAGGTCAGAGATGTATAGGGGTTAAGGTACTTTCCTTGTATGTGGTCGATCCTAATTCAATCCCCTGTATCCTGGTACCTCAGGGCCCAAGAGGGACTGCATCCTGTGGCCCTTAGCATTAAACTGCAGGCCTAGCTGGCTGAGTATCATCAGGAGTCTACTCCAGATGCCCGGAGTACAATTTAGGTTTTATTATATGAAGATATTTTTCTTTTTCTTGAACAGTCTTATCAAACATTTGACATTTTTAATTAGTCACTTCAAATAAATTAATCTATCTTTTACTGGTTCTCTACCGAGAACTTAGGCTTCATGCTTCTATTTTCACTTTTCAGATTTTATGTTTACTCAAGAAATATATCTTATACCTGATACATCTTTTATATCTATATATTATCTATCAGATACTTTCAGGGGACCTCTGTTACATCAGTGAGCAAAACAAAGAAATATTTTCATGGAATATACCTTCAGCGGAAAGAGACAGAAGGGGAAATTTAAAATACAGTGGGGATGTAAGCCTCCTTTTGACAGTCTGCATTAATAGGAAGACTTGAGGATACAAGATAATTATTCAAAATATATGTCAGACAAGAGTATTCCTGGCAGAGGAAGAGTCAGTGCTTATCAGAAACATATCTGATATGGTGAAGAAACAGGAAGCCATTGTGGCTAGAACAGTGTGAGGGGGGGAAGAGAATTGGGGATGAGGTAAAAGAGGTTGCTAGGTGGGAGAGTGGAGAAGGCAAATCATGTAAAACTTTATAAGGATATTAAAAGGACACTGGCTTTATTCTGAGTGAGAAGGAGTACCTCTGGAGGATTGTGAGTAGAGAAATGACAAGATCTGTCTTGACTTGAAAAGTTCATTCTGGCTACTACACTAAGATTAGATTACAAGGGGCAAGTGTGGAAGCAGGGAATCCAGTCAAGAAGTTACTGCAGTAATAGAGTTACTATCATTGCCATGGAAGTGGTGAGAAGTGAATTCTGGCTATCTCACTGAAGATAAAGTCTAAAGTATTTCCTGACAGAGAGCGGGCTCCCACCATCTTGCGTTCTCCCCCCTTCATCCCCGCCACCTTTTCCCTTCTCTACACTCTAGTCCCCTCACTCGCCCCTTTCCAAGCGTGGCCGCAGCAGCAGACACCGAAGGGTCTCTTTCCACACAATTCTCCACGCGGGACATGCAGCTGTGCCTACAAATGTCCTTAAAGCAGAGATGAATAATGCTGCAGCCAGTCCAATGTCTACTGCTACTTCAAGTAGTGGGCGAAGTACAGGAAAGCGTATAAGCTTTGCTGCAGAATTACAGAGTATGATGTTTTCTTTAGGTGATGCTTGGAGGCCTCTTCGTGAAACAGCAGTTTTGGTAGAAGATGTGGTACACACTCAGTTAATCAATTTGGTCTTGCTTCTGGCTCTACGCTCAGATTCACTGCTAGTGGGGCCCAGGAGATCACATGGGGTGCTAGGATGGAACCTGGGAAAGTCTTGTGCAAGGCAAGCTCCCTACCTGCTGTGCCATCTCTCCAGCTCCTACAAATGATCTCCTTAAACATTCTACATGTATGTGTATATTTATATTGTTTAACCTTACATTAACATTATTGAATATTTGCTTCTTGTATACTCTTTACTCACTTGATAACCTTTACCTAAAAAGCATGGTTGGTAAATATTCTATAAAATAATTAATCTATTAAATTATAACTTGGATATTCTCAACAAATAAAAATAAACCTAACTGTAAATCATTCACTTAATTTAGCTGTTTGGGCTCTGCTGAATATCTTATATTGGACGTTATGTACACAGTGATAAGTAAATTTTTCATAAAAGTTTATATACCGAAACTCCAATATGTTTTATAGCTGATTATATAAAATGTATGTAACAATAAAACCATGTGTGCTATAAAAAATAAAGTATTTCCCGACAGAGTATGTTCTGAAGGTATTGAGCACGATACCAAAAATTTTTGTAGTGGCTGATATGGGGGAGGTTGCAGGAGTCTTGTGCCTTGTTGAAAATTAGAAGTTCAATTTGAGGAATCAGAAATAAAGCAAGAAGTTAAAGTGCTTGTCTTGTACTCCAAACAACTCTAGTTCTGTCCCTGGCACCCCATATGGCACACTGAGCACTACCAGGAGTGATGCCTGGGATCACTCCTGAGCAGAGCCAGGAATAAGCCCTGAGCACTTTCAGGTGTGGCCCCCCCAAATCCAAAATTAAAAAATATAAAAAGAAATTTGATTAAATGTTTTCAGTTTGAGATATCTCTTGAAGTTTATCTGCAAAATTCTAACTTCCATGTCAGGGCAAGATAGTATATTTTAATTGTTTTACTTTTTCAGTTGGGCTGGAGCGATAGCACAGCGGTAGAGTGTTTGCCTTGCAAGCAGCCCAACGTGGCCGACCCGAGTTGGATTCCTCCGCCCCTCTCCAGAGCCCGGCAAGCTACTGAGAGTATCTTGCCCGCACAGCAAAGCCTGGCAAGCTACCCATGACATATTCAATATGTCAAAACACAGTAACAATAAATCTTACGATGGAGATGTTACTGGGCCCACTCGAACAAATCGATGAACAATGGGAGTACAGTGACTTTTTCAGTTGGGCTGGAGTGATAGCACAGCGGTAGGACATTTGCCTTGCACACAGCCAGCCCAGTCAAGTCGTGTTCGATTCCTCCGCCACTCTCGGAGAGCCTGGCAAGCTACCACGAGTATCTTGCCTGCACGGCAAAGCCTGGCAAGCTACCGGTGACGTATTCAATATGCCAAACACAGTAACAAGTCTCAAAATGGAGATGTTAGTGGGCCTGTGCGAGTAAATCAAACAATAGGAGGACAGTGTTTGTTTGTTTTGTTTAATTTTTCAATTGGGAGAGTTAATCAAAGCTTTCATTGTCATAATGATAATGAAATTTCCTTCTTTTAAATCTGCCCCTCATATAATCCTTATATTATCTTTTTTGATGTTTGGACCATACCCAATGGTGCTCAGTACTTACTCCTGGCTGTGTGTCAGGGGTCACTTCTGGTGGGGCTCAGGGGGTCATATGAGGTATAATGCTATTGCTTTACATGCTGCATGATCTCTCCAGTCCTCTTTATCTTATACTAACTATTGGTGCAATTTTCCAAACCTCTAGTTTCCAACATAACATCCCTTATCACACATTACAAAAAAATTGGAGTACCACAATAGATTTGTTGGCTCTAAGACAGAAAGAACTCCTTGAAATAAGATGTCTTAGAACACTGACACTATCTTTAAAATCAATTATCCTAAAGGAAGTAGTAAAAAGTGTGAGGAACTTTACAGAACGTTTCTTTATAAAGTCTAAAGTAGGTTCATCCAGTTGGGCAAAGAAGATGCTAAAAGCTAATACTGCATTCAACTAGTTGCACATCAGTCTTTCCACTGATTTGATTATGATGTCATCTCATCTTTTTAATGGGTGACTTATATCCAAGTGTATAAAGAAACAAACACATAGTTTCTTTAGTAGACATTCAACTCTATGATTTTGATCCTGAAGAATTTAAGAAGTATCATACAAGGAAAAAGAGGAAGATCTGCAATAACAGAAAACCTCTCTGAACATCTCTCTGCTAAATGACAAAGTCAAATTGACTCTTCATTTCAGTGCTTAAAAATCTAGAGGGTACGTCTCCTTCGCTTGGCGGCTTGGTGGGCTGCCATCCTCCAGAGGCCACTGGACAGTCAGGCTTCGGCCCACAGTAACGAGACACGTGGGACCTTAAGGAATGGGGGTGGAGTCAGCCCTTTCCTCCCCGTCCCAACGAGACCCGGAGTCGCCACGACGAACGGCCTCTCTGGCTCCTGATCAAGTTGCTTAACGGCCATGATCCCAGAGACTCAGAAACAAATCTTGAAACCCAGAAATGTGTCTGGACCCTGCAGTAGATTACTGTTGCCAGGCCACCCCAGGGGGGAAAGGGTGCTGTTCCCCCGACTGCTCCCCCCTTGGCGGCTCGGTGGCTGCCATCTGCCAAAGGCCATTGGACAGTCAGGTTTGGGCCCACAGTGATGAGACACACGGAGCCTCATGGATGGGGATGGAGCCGGCCCTTTCCTCCCCACCCCAATGAAACCCCGAGTCAATGCCCACAAACGGCCTCTCTGGCTCCTGATCAAGCTGCTAAACGGCCATGATCCCAGAGACTCAGGAACAAATCTAGAAACCTAGCAGGTTTTGGCAGAAATTCCTCCAGATTTAATTGCTAAAATTTCAAAATTCTAAAATTGTGTGGTCACTGCTGCAGCCACGTGACATCATATGTTATTCATAACCAGCAATAGAAAACAAATTGTCTACCATTGCCTTTTTGACATATCCAAGTGTTGGGGTAAAATCCCAAATAATAATGTTGGGCCAGGTGTCAAAATATTGAATGTAATCAAAGTAGAGAGAGAGTAATGTGGAAATCATCTGCCCCACAAGTAGGGGGAGGGTATGGGATGGGGGTATACTGGGGTTTTTGGTGATGGAGAATGGGCACTGGTGAAGGTATGGGTGTTTCATTGTATGACCAAGACTTAAACCCGAAAGCTTTGTAGCTGCTCTCACAGTGATTCAATAAATAAAATTATAAAAAATGAAAAAAAACCCTAGAGGGTAGGGTATTTGTCTTGCACACGGCTGACCCAGGCTTAATTCCTGGCATCCCATATGGTCCCCCGAACACTGGCAGGAGAAACTCCTGAGTGCTGAGTCAAGAGCAACCCCTAAGCATAGTCAGGTGTGATCCAAAAAGCCAAAAAAATCTAGAAGTTTTTTTGACATATCCTCCTAAATTTATTCTGATTATGCTATTAGAAGAAATTCTAACAATATTCAATTCAATTTCATATTAACCTCTTTCTGTACCTACTTTTTAAAATCAGTGTTTCTTCTTCAATTGACAATTTTACATATTAGTCCTTATTTCAAAGTGTTTCAGTTCCTTTCTCACATAACTATGCTCAATATACAACAGGCCCTGTATAGTGCTGACATATATAAATGATACATCAGGAGAAAGCAACCTGAGGTAATAACATAGATAGGACAAACATGTTGGAATTCTCATTTCCCTTATACAATGAAATGCATTCTTAACTGAAGATCTGCAACATGAGTGATGCTTCTATTTAATAATCAAAAGGTTTTAGAGATAAGAAAAGTAGGAATAAGGGACAACTTCATAAGCATCTCCAAAATGAAGGATTATTTTTCAGAAACTGACAGAATAGTATCTAGTAAGATTAACATTCTAGCAAAATATGCAACCCTATTTTTCCACACTCCAACACACTATCTTCAATTAGAATTTAAAGTCAGAAGAGAGTTTCAAGTACATTTAGATGTACTAGATCTCACTATCTAGCTGGGAAAACTGAGATGCTAAATATTAATAGGACTTACCTAACGTAAGACAATCAGACCAGAGCAGGGGATAGAATCCTAGTCACCTCACTTTCCCATCAATAACTTCCTAGAGGACTAAATCAAGTATTTGGGAATTCTTGAAGCACAATTGACATGAACTTATATAAATTTAAAGCAAGAAAAGAAACAGCATAGAGCAGCATCTTTGTGGTAGACCTAGAGATCTTTCAAAATGCAGTTTTGGATTCAGCAGGTCTGGCACAGGGCCTGAGTATTTATATTTTTATAATTTTATCAAAATTTTAAGGAATTCCAATGCTACTGGTCTACAAATCACATTCTGTTTAGCAAAACTATAGAAAACTTGGAGCTGAACATAGTGGAAATAGGCTGATAAGTCAAGCATATATCAAAAGATAAGAAGTGAATGACCAAAGGTCACGGCATGGCGACTTAAAAGAGCTGGTACAATATCCTAGGTTCAGATGTTGGTGGTTAGCTATTCCATGTATCTTGAAAGTGTTAAATATTTGCTTTCCCAGGCTTCCAAGTACCACTATGTGTCCTAATTCTGGATGACAAGACCAAAGCAAATATCTGATGGAGTCTTCTTGTAAGGGAAAAGTTTTATTATTGATAAGACTGGAATGATTCCAGCCATCATGTTCTTTGCTGTTTGAATAGGTTCTGATGCTTGAAGTTACAGTAGATATGTGGCTACCACATAAGCAATAAAAAAATGTGCAAAAAAGCACCAAGCTAAGGGGGCAGACTGGGATGAGGGAGAGAAGGTCACACTGGTAATGGGATTGATGCTGGAACATTGTATACTTGAAACAACTGTATTATGAATGGCTTTGTAAATCATGGCATTTTAATATAAAAAAATCACCAAGCAATACAGGAATAACCTAGACTTGATAGCAAAGCTGAACACCAGCCTGAAAAACTACCTTCCTTCTTAGTATTATATATTGATGTCATAAATATTGTTATAAAAAATAAAATTCTTACTGTTTTATATGTAGCACTGTAACTGTCCTTCACGTTGTTCATCGATTTGCTCGAGCGGGCACCAGTAACGTCTCCATTGTCAGATTTGTTGTTACTGTTTTTGGTATATCAAATAGGTCACAGGGAGCTTGCCAGGCTCTGCCATGTGGGCGGGATACTCTCGGTAGATTGCCAAGCTCTCTGAGAGGGGTGGAGGAATTGAATCTGAGTCTGCTGCATGCAAGGCAAATGCCCTACCCGCTGTGCTATTATTGCTCCAGCTCACTATTTCATTTAAGAAGTTTTATTAGTTTACATAGACTAAGACCTATTATTTTATATAACACTTCTTATATGAAATAATTGCATGTTTGTAAGGCAGAAACCATTGTAGTAAGTCTAATACATCTAATTAGATACTTCTGGACTTTTCAGTCATTTCAAAAGTTTCGTTGTGTCTTTGCTGCCAATCAATATGGTATGTGTGTGCTCTAGCAAAGGGTCTTGTTAATGACTTCCTAAATGACAAACTCAAAAGTCTCTTTTTAGCCCTCACCGTATGTCAGTGTCAAAAGCATTTGACTCTGTTGACCCCTTCCTCTTTACTGACTCGCATGACATATTCTTGTCTGGTTCTCCTCCCCTGCTTCAACTTTTTTCTGATTTTTCTTCCTCTGCTTTCCCCTTTTACATATGCATTCTCCTCAAACTTCTACCTTTAACCCTATTTCCTTTCTACCTGTAAAAGTTCATAAGGTCCCACAGATTCAACCACACATAGCCTTTTCTTTATATAGCAGTAAACATGTGCATGGTAAACCATCATATACGGTATTGTAAACTACAGAACCTTAATCAAAAGATTGATTTTGGAGGGCTGGAGTGATAGAGCAGCAGTTAGGGCATTTGCCTTGCATGCAGAAGACCCGGTTCAATTCCTCCGTCCCTCTCAGAGAGCCTGGCAAGCTACCGAGAATATCCCGCCCACAAGGCAGAGCCTGGCATATTCAATATGCCAAAAATAGTAACAACAAATCTCACAATGGAAACACTACTGGTGCCTGCTTGAGCCAATTGATGAACAACTAGAGGACAGTGCTATAGTGCTACAATCAAAAGATAGAAAAAATAAAGAAAGAAAAATAAACAATAGTGTGGATTTTCCCACAATGGTGATGTAAATCTAAGTAGGAAAAGGCAGTACTGTAGTGCTGGGCTTCTCTTATCTGCCAAACCTACCTGGACAAAGAGTGATTCCAGCTGCAGCACATATATCTGGGAACATGTCCAAGGGACAAATTACACAAAAATATGCTACATAAGCTATGTCTGCTTCTGCTTACTATAGTCATTGCAGCACTTCCTGTTAGTTGTGTATGCTTGGATTTAAAAAGGAACCTAGACTGTGTTTGTGTGTTTTGTAGGTATACAGGGCTGGAACGATAGCATAGCGGGTAAGGGCAGTTGCCTTGCATGCAGCCAACATGGCCGACATGAGTTCAATTCCTCCACCCCTCTCAGAGAGCCCGGCAAGCTACCAAGAGTATCTCGCCCGCAGGGCAAAGCCTGGCAAGCTACCTGTGAAGTATTCAATATGCCAAACACAGTAATAAGTCTCACAATGTTACTGGGCCCGCTCGTGCAAATCGATGAACAATGGGAGGACAGTGACAGTGACAGTGACAGTAGGTATACAATTCCAGTACAGAACTGTAATCTCACCTGGGACACTAGAGATTCTATTTAAATCTCTTGTATGAAATTTGTAAAACTATTAATTTGTTCACATGACGTTATCTGCTTTCAGTAGATCAGAGTGACTATATTATTCTGAGAGAAGAGACATTTATTTAATAGGCTATCTTAAAGGCTTTGGAAAACAAATTAAAAGAAATTTACCTAAATATTTAAATTAAAACAAATAAATAATTTCATGAATTTAAAAAAATCTCCTTTAGTCTTGTGAATTTACATGGCTTCACTTACAGTTTGCGGTATTTGTATTTGTATACAAATTTGTATTTGTATACAGTGTGAGGTCTTTGTATTATAACCACTTACCCGTACAGTGAATGTTCTTCCTCCAACTCTGTCCCGGGCTTCTAAAACCACAACTTTAAAACCAGATTCTGATAAGAGTTTTGCAGCGGCCAATCCTAAAGAAAAAACATGAATAAATATAACCATTTAAAAAACTCAGGATTTAAATAGGACTGTACATAAAATAATGTAGAACATCATATACAACAGATTGATTTTTGTGATCTCTCCAGTAAATTCTAACCATACTGTGATTAACTAAATGACCAACTTTATCATGATTTTATTTTCTACTGTAAAACTGATTGACAGAAACAATATATCAATTTCTTATACCTTTTCAGTGATCAGATCAGATCAAATGCAAGAGACTTTGTTGACTGAACCCGTAAATCAATTTCTAGTTTCTTTTCTTTCAAAAAATCCTAATTATGTAAACAAAAAGCATATTTTTCTAGTTACTTGCCTTCATTATACCAAGCTACAGTATAACTGCTTTTTTTCAATTTTAAAATGCTCTTTAATATTCACCTATGATTTATATCTAGGTTACAAAGCACTGTCCTCCTGTTGTTCATGGATTTGCTCAAGTGGGCCCAGCAATGTATCCATCATTGTTGTTACTGTGTTTGGCATATAGAATACGTCACAGGTCGCTTGTCAGACTTTGCCATGTGGGCAAGATACCCTCAGTAGCTTGCTGGGCTGAGAGGAGCGGAGGAATCGAACTCGGGTCAGCCATGTTGACTGTGTGCAAGGCAAATGCCCTACCCGTTGTGCTATAGTTCCAGTCCAATGTTTATACATTTTTATTTCTTTGTAAACTTTTTTCTTTAATAAAAAATAATTTCCTTAGTTACTTTTTCCAATAACTTAACTATTTAATTTAAAAATACTTCAAAATCAGATACAAACTACATATGTTCTATGTGAGTCAAAGTATATTTATACACCATTAATAATATACATATAAAAAGGTAAAGGCCCTCCCGTTGATCGTCGATTTGCTCGAGCGGGCCCAGTAACGTCTCCATTGGAGACTTTGTTGTTACTGTGTCTGGCATATCGAATACTCTCGGTAGCTTGCCAGGCTCTCCGAGAGGGGCGGAGGAATCGAACTCGGGTCGGCCATGTTGGCCGCTTGTAAGGCGAACGCCCTACCCGCTGTGCTATTGCTCCAGCCCACAATATACATATCTTTAGTATAATTTATGTGATAAGGTTACAATAGTGTTTGAGTTCCTGTTATTGATAACAAAGACACTGCCCATCCCTGTCATGGAAGTGTCCATGACCCTCCCCCATGCCAATCTATTACAGTTCAATGTTCCTTCCCTCCCACCTTTGTCCTTCACCCTATTTCTTAATTAACAGTATTGCTTTTGGTGCAGAATATTACCTCTCTTAGCACTACCCACGTGCTTGAGATATTCCACCATATGTTTCTGTCTTCAAATTCACTAAGTCCTTACACTACTAACATCCATTTATATATTTAGGTATTGTGAGCAATCTGCTCACAAAGAAAGACTGTGAGTTTAAATAAATGCATACGATATGTTGCAATGTGTTTCCTGGGACAGAGCATAGGATTCTTACACTAGTCATTATTTTTTAAAAATTGTGTGTGGGGGGGGATGTATTGGGGCCAGGAATTGACACAGTTATACAGCAGTTGCCTTCCACATGCAAGGTCTTGGGTCTGATCCCTAGCACCACAAAAAAGTGGGAGGGGAATGAAGATATGTTATAAAACATGTTTTGACATAAGGTCTTTTTCTTACCTCTATTTCTTTTGGCTTATGTCCTAGAATGGAGATTACTGAGTCAAAAGATATGAGTGAATGCTCAAAACACCACTTTGCTTAATGAAAATGAGGCCATTAGAATTAGAATTGCAGAGGGTAAATGACCACCCTGGATGGGTATTCTGGACCAGGGTCACTAAAAATTTTTCCACTTGCAGCCCCCTTTCACCTGAAAAATGTAACACGGAAATGCTTCTGCAAACACCTCAGTTTAATTATGCGGTTCATTTTGAATTGATTTTTGATGCTTATGCATTCTGAAAGCTTTAAAAAATTGTGAAATCTTTCACAACTCTCGCCCAAATTTAAGAATCTAGGTTTTAGAAATTCAGGTGTCCTTATTCGATATGCCAGACACAGTAACAACAAAGTCTCCAATGGAGACGTTACTGGGCCCGCTCGAGCAAATCGACGATCAACGGGAGGGCCTTTACTTTACTATATCCAAAAGTCTGTAATTCCCGAACTAGTGTGTTTGAAGCAAGAGATCTAAGTGGGTTTTGGCAAAATCTACTGCACATGCACCAAGAGGTCTTCCTCTCCTGGATCATGAAAAGTAAAGGTAATTAGAAGAAAGAAGACCCAGAATTCTGTCCCAAATGTCCTGTGGTTTCTATGCAAATGGAAACCCAGAGACATTACATTCAGGAAGAGTTTGTCAAGGCTTTACTGTGTAAATATGAATCTGATCACTTTCACAATGCAAAAACTGAAAACAGAAATCTCAGAAAGGCTGCTAATCACTTCACAATTTAAATAGGGATTATTACATTTAAAAAGGAAATCTCATTTTCTCATCTCTCTTTTCAATTATTTGGGCTTTATAGAAATTTTTAAAAACAAGTTAATGGATTTGAGAGATTAGGGAAAGGAAAAACTCTCAAGTCTCAAAACAAAACACTTCAATGTTAGTTCTAGTTATTAGGTCAGCACAACCTAGGTAGGATGATGAATGCAGACACCTCAAGCTTCTTAAAGACACTGACCCTGGAAACTACCCGGAGGTTTTGCAGTACTTCCAACAACCTGAGATGGCAATCCTCCTAATAGTAAGGAAATGATTTTGCCCACAAAACACAGGTGGAGGGCTTAATATTTGTCATAAAACTTTCAAGGAAGTGTTTGGGATATGAATCTCAGGTTATCTTGTCACTGGGAACCTAGCCTACCTCTATTTTCTCTTCCTTATCATGAGCCCTTTCCTTTACATTTCTTCTTCAAGCACCATTGCATTGCTCTATTTTATGGGTAAAAAAATATCCAATTTACTCATGCAACTTTTCCAGTTCAATTTCTTATTTTCTTTTTCAACAAATGATCTGGTGTACCCCCTCCTCTCTCAGTAAAACAGATCTTGAAATATAGCATGAAAAATATCCAGTGACCCCACTGCCAATACAAATAATCAAGTTACTTGTCACATTCTGTCCCTCTTACACTACTGAATATTTAAAAAATTTATTTCAGATAAGTAATTTTGTTTTAGAAAATGACAAATCTTTTATCTTTTGGAGAAGCTAAAAAGATAGCACTCTCTCTGTCTCTCAAATTATAAATAGCTGAATAACGATTAACTTCAATTTGTCCTTGAATTGGAGAGACTGACTGTCTAGACAGTCCTAATTTATTTGATTACTGTTCGGCATTCATTTTCACTTTAAGATAAGTGGATTTCATCTAAGTTAAGGAATGCAATTATCCCTTAATTCATTATTCACCCTGTTCTTTTACTGAAATTTAAAATACAACAAAGGCACTTCACACTGCTGTCCACAATACTAGAATGTGCTGTGGTTTAAAGAGGAAGTTTCCAAAATATTTTTACGAAACACTAGTTCTTAAAATGCTCCAGGGAAAATTATCAATATTCATAGAACTTGGGAGATCTCATACTATTTTCCTTCTAGAAAATGCATGACATGCAATAGTAAATTAAAGGTCCGAATAAGCCCCATAGTGAAGAAATCTATTTAATTCAGCATTTTTCTATTCTTTGCCTGAAAAGAGATAAAAAATATATATATTTAACCCTTTGGGAAAACTGATTTTATCTTTTAAATTACTCAAAGAATGCTTTTGTTTTTATTTTGGTGGGAGGGGTCACAGAAGTGTTCAGGGCTTACTCCTAGCTCTTTGCTCAGGGGCCACTCCTGGAGGACATATACATTGTCAGGGACAAACCAGGGTCAGGTATGTCCATGGCAAGCACCCTATTCTTTCTAGCTCATAGAATACTTAAATAAAGAGGTTGAAAAGATATCTTGCCAGGATGATGCACATTTTGCATGTGAGAGGCCAAGGTTTGTTCCCTAGTATGGTCCCCAAGCATGCCAGGAGCATCCCCTGAGCAGTGATCTGGGAATAGCCTCCAAGTATCACTAGGTGTGGGCCAAAATATACAAAAATATATTGTCTAAATATTTATAGTCATAAACTCCTAGGAGAATAATGCCTAAAGCACAAATAAGAGCATGGAAGCAAAGCTATGCTTTGCTGGTTCTCCTGATTCTTTACCCCACATTGTATTTTTTTCAATTTTTGTGTTCACTAAAACTTAGAAATATGAATAGTGTAGCATCAAATATTAAAATTTTAAGTTAATTTTCTATTGTTCAGTGGCCTCTGATCAACAAAATTTTTGCATAAACTACATTTTAGGATTCTTGGACTGAATATTCAGAGAACAATAAAAAAGTATAATCAATTAGGAGTTGGCTATGGGTCAGTGCAAAGCTTTGCAGAGAGTACATGCCTATTAGGTGAGAGGCCCAGAGCTCAATTTACAGCCCAGCCTCACACTGCACCCCTAGATACATACCTGAAAGCACCACTATAGCTGGCCTTGGTGACCCCAGTAATAATAATAATAAAATAAATAACCCATTACTCAGGAGTTGGAGATAGTATAGTGGGAAGGCACACAGCCTTGCACATGGCAGACCTGGGTTGGATCCATGGCATCCCAGGATGGTCCACGTCATATGGTCCCTCTAGCAAATAGTGATGCCTGAGTGTAGAGCCAGCAGTAAGCCCTGAGAAATATTGGATGTGACCCAAAACCAAACAAAAGGGCATAATCAAATATCAGTGCTGCAGATTCATACTGAAGTTTTAGATGCAATGTACCTAAAGAACAAAAACAGCAAAAAATTCCTCAAGGCACGCAGTGAATACTCAATCAGCAGATTTGTTGAAATCAAGAATATATACATGCAAACGGTGTCTTTAAATCATAGTTCCACTGAATCTGGAAAGTCACCTTAAAGGTCATCGCTCTTGGAATTTTCAGAAAGGAAAAAAAATCTTCA